GGCCCCCCCCCCCCCCACCACGAGGCGCCTCCTTCTGTGATGGGTTCCGTGTGAGGGCGTTGAAGTTGTTTTCAATTTCTTGCGACTGTAGACACAGCAGCAACGGAAATCCTTGGGATGCCCTTGGTGCCTGGCGTCTCAGCGGTGCGTATACTGTGGTTTTTATTTTTTTAAAAATATATTTTATTGATCTTTTACAGAGAGGAAAGGAGAGGGATAGAGAGTTAGAAACATCAATGAGAGAGAAACATCGATCAGCTGCCTCCTACACACTCCCTACTGGGTATGTGCCCGCAACCCAGGTACATGCCCTTGACCGGAATTGATCCTGGGACCCCTCAGTCCGCAGGCCGACGCTCTATCCACTGAGCCAAACCGGCCAGGACTATCCTGTGGTTGTTAAATAGTAAAATACACAGAACACAAAACCTGCGATTTATTCTAACCTTTAGGTGCACAGCTTGTGGCATGGAGCGCATTCACATCATCGCGCAGCCGTCCCGCCAGCATCCAGGACTCTCTCTCTCTCTCTCTCTCTCTCTCTCAAAATGTATTTGTGTTGATGTCAGAGAGGCAGGGAGAGGGAGAGAGAGAAACATCAATGATGAGAGAGAAGCATGGATCGGCTGCCTCCTGCGCGCCGCGCACTGGGGACTGAGCCCACAACCCGGCCCGTGCCCTGACCGGGAATCAAACCAGCGACCTTTTGGTTCCTGGGTAAACACTCAGCCACCGAGCCATGCCGGCCAGCACCACAGAACTACTTTTAGGGTCTAAACCAGCGTTTCTCAACCTGTGGGTCATGACCCTTTGGGGGTCGAACGACCCTTTCACAGGGGTCGCCTAAGACCATCGGAAACCACATATATAATTACATATGGTTTTTGTGATTGATCACTATGCTTTAATTATGTTCAATGTGTAACAATGAAAATACATCCTGCATATCAGATATTTACATTACGATTCATAACAGTAGCAAAATTCAGGGGGACCCCGAGACTCCACTCTCAGCCTTTGCATTCTGAGCACCAGCACCTCAGGAACCCGTCCTGCCACATGTGGGCACCATGGGGCACAGGTGCCTGAACAGGGAGGAAGATGGTGCACCTGTAGGGGCCACTTTCTGTTTCCCCTCTAGCGCCCCTCCCACCCCCAAGAGTGTGCACCTCCTTTGGGGCCCCACCGCTGAATGCATTCTCGGTGTGTCTGGGCGTAGGGCTGGCCAATGCCTCGAGAACCTCCTCCCCCAGATCTGGGCATGGGCTGGGGGTGGTTTCAGAACCTCTTCCTCCATCGGGGGGCCGGCGGGGGGTGACTCCCCACTGCGGACCCTCACCCTGGCTGCCGGGCCAGAGCACTCCGACTCCCAGGCCTTCAGCCGGCCCCCACCCAACCACCCGCCCCTCTGCCCTCACACCTGCTCCCAGGGCCGGGCAGATAGACGCTCCCTGCCTCCCAGTGACCGACCGTGGCACATCTGGGCATCTCTGTGGCCCGGGTGTGTTCCCGAAAGGAGGGTGTCACCAAGGAAGGGAGCAGGAGGCCCAGCAGCACCCAGAGGCCCCACCTGGAGCTGCGGCACACCTAACCACGCCAACCTGGACGGGTCACGGGCGGAGACATAGACCAAAGGTGATGCCCACATAGGGGGCCTGGACTTTGCGTCTGCTCCCCCGGCCCGGGCATGTGAGCCCGCATGGCATCCTGCGCCCCCAGGTGTACAGAAGGTGCACACCGTGGGCACAGGTGCGCGCACACACTGGCCTCCCCACGGTGTTGCTGCCACTTGGCTTCCTCGTCCATCCTCTTCCTTAGAGACAGAAAGGACTTAACGAGTCCCATGGCGGGAAGAGGCGGCTCCTGGGCTCCGGGAGCCGCAGGGCTTCCCCACCATGAGCACCTGCACCTGCAGCTCAGCCAGCTCAGGGCCTGGGGCGGTGCAGGGGGGCTGGGCCAGCAGGGGGACCCCGTGGTCTCCCTCCAGCTCCTGGGTCTGACACCCATGGACTTGCATGGTGGGGAGGGGATCCCTCCCTGGGCCCAGAAGGCTCTCGACTGGCTGGGCCCCGCCCCTGGTCTGACCTCAGGCCCTCTGGTCTCCGTCTAAACTCCTCCACCCACCCAACACAGGCACCTGGTTCCCACCTGTCCCGCCCCACGCCCTGCCACCGCCAGGAGCCCACCTCCTCCTCCACCTCCTGCGGGAGGGTCCTGCGTGGGTGAGGCCAGGGCTGCTGCCTGTGCCCTGGGGAGATGGGCTGGGCTGGGCAGAGGGCAGAGCCTGTGCTGTGGAGGCAGGGAGTGTCCGGCGGAGGGACCTTGGCCTGGACTTCAGCAGTTCCCACTTGTGACAAAGGGTTGCCTAGTCAGCAGAGGCTGGCAAGACCTGGGGCCCCCCGTGGGGGGAGTGAGGGCGCCCAGGGGCAGGGCCACTCTCTCTCTCTTTTTCTTAAACAAATATATTTTTATTGACTTCAGAGAGGAAGGGAGAGGGAGAGAGAGAAATGATGATGAGAGAGAATCACTGATCAGCTGCCTCCTGCACGCCCCTTACTGGGATCGAGCCCGCAACTCCGGCACGTGCCCTGGCAAGGAATGGAGCCGCGACCTCCCGTTCATAGGTTGATGCTCAACTCTTGGGCCACCCTCTTAACCCCAGCTTGGGCCCGAGCCCTCCACTGGCCTCCCTTCTCTCCAGCCAGGCCTTAGAGAGCGCCCGCCACCCACTGAAGGCCCATGTGTCCACCCCCCCGCCCTGCCTCCTGGACAGTCTGTGATAAAACTGCCTCCAATGCAACCTGGCCCGACAGCACTTGGACGTTCTTCACCTAACTCGGCACCCCCATCCCAGGAAGTGACACCCCACCTTCCAGGGGCTTAGCTGAACCCGAGAGTGGATGCTCTGTCTTCCCAACCATCCTGGTGGGGCTGAACCCGCCCCCGGGCCTCACCTGCAGACCCTCCCGGTTAGGAACCCCGCTGCCTGGAGCCTCCAGCCTGGCCTCCTCAGAGGGCCCCCGCCGCCTCTCTCTCCATCCTCGCCCTCACGCTGCCCCGCACCCAGGGCTGCACGGCTCGCAGGGATCGTGAGTCCCATGCCCGATCCACAGGGAGGGACCCTCGGCCTGGCAACTCCGCCCACCCCCGGTTGGCGGGCAGTGCCCGTTGCCTGAGAAAGCGCGAGGGCAGCGAGAGAAACAAGGCCGTGCAGGGGTCCGACCCCCGGGACTTCCTCCCGGCGCTGCAGCCAAGCTCGGAGCTCCGCGCGGGGACTCCG